ACATGGATTCGAGCCCAGGCCACCATAAGCGTCCTTCAGAGTGAGTCCAGCACCCTACAGTAGTAGTACTGTAGTCATTAGAGGTGGCCCAATGACCCCCTCCCCTGCTTCCTTTCCCTCTTCCCAGTATGATCGCTCACCCCACCCTTTGTCTTGTTTTTTCAAACCCCACGACCCTTCTGGTTGTAGTGTATGAAAACATCTGTGGCAACTTTATTTTCTTCTCTGCCTCCCTTATCCCCAACCCTTCTTTGTGTCTTTCTCCTCAGGAACAGAGAACTTGAGGAAATCCGTGACTGTCCAAAATCATCTGCATTGAGGAGAAGTGGGGAGGGAACGCTGGGAAGGCTCATTTCAAACAAAACCAGGCAGTCAGATGTGAGGGGTGTGGAAATTTTCTTCCTCCTCTTGAATTGTGTAGTGGGTTTCCTGCTATTCTTTTGCTGATTTCTTCTCTGGTGCCTTTCTATTTTTGTTTATCTCCCCAATCTAACTACTTTTTATTTCTTCTGTTCATCTGTTTGGAGCTCTCTGAGCAGCTGCCTTCACCTCTATGGTTTTAAGTTTGTGTCTGCCTGGTCCCTTCCCTTCCTGTGACTTGGTGTCCTGTTCTGTGATGGGAATGTTGCCCTGGGTACAGTGTGGTGATGTGTTTTGACTGCTGGGTGGCATGTAAGCTTGGTGTTTCTGTAGTGGCTCTTTTCTTTCCTTAGCAGTGGCATGAGCTTCTCTGGCGACAGTGCTCAGTGCTGCAGTCACTCCTCTCTGCGCCTACCCGTTCTGTCTCCTCCCTTAGAAGCAAGTGGCAGCTTCATGTTCTCTCTGTATAGCCGTTAGGAGCCTCAGATTTCCTCTGTGTGGCCATTAAGAGCCTGAGACCCTCTGTGTGGCTGTTAGGAGCTAGGTGAGGTCCCTCTAGATCCTGACTTCTGTTCATAGGCAGTTTGATGTTGACGACTGACTGGGCTCAGACTCCTTGTCCCAAAGGATGGCAAGCTCAGAAATAGTTTTGAAGCCATTTCACACTGGCTTTTGCTTTGTGTTTTGAAAAGAGAGGAAACTAAACACTCACCTGTATTCCTCTGAGTTGAGCTATTGTGTCAGAATCTTCCTCCTCATGTATTTTAGCAGGTACACGTGAGACACCTGAATGGAGCAGCTTTGATGACCACTTCTCTTTGTGGAAAGTGGCAGAGCACTTGTACAGTAAGGAGGAGGAAGAAGCTATTACAGAACCAAAGCTCCTGGCCAGGAAGACTTCCAGGCTTCATTAGAGTTGGCTGTGATTAAGGGGGTAATCTCTGTTTAATGGAAGGATAGCCTGGGTTTTTCCAGTTACCTAAGGATCAGTGAAAGACATCTAGCCATTCGAACTTGAGGAACTGACTAGTTTGAAGGGAGAATAAAAATAGTCAAGTACTATTTTCTTTTTAAGTTGAATTTGGTAGTAATACAGTAGGTCATACGTAGGCCCTGAATCTACATACTTGTATGGAAAATAGCAAAATAGTGTATTTTGTAGCCACACAGAAAACTTGGGGGGAGGGGAAGAGGGCGCTCAGGGAGGGACAGGAGTGGCTGCCGCAGGGGGTGCTGTTGAGCCAGAGAACCTGCTTCTGTAAAGAGGAAAAGAAAACTTGTCTGTGAAAATGGGGAACATTAACCCAGCAATTTTTCCTTTTCTTTCTTTCTTTTTTTTTTTTTTTTTAACAAATTTTCCCCTTGCACGCCTCCTTCTCCTGCCCCTTGCACCTTTCCTTATAAAAGCAGAAATACCCAAACGGCCACAGAGGTCTTCAGAAGTTTATTGGCATGGACTGGACTGGGCATTTGATAGTTTTCTTTCCAACAGCTGATTCATCTAGAAAGGCCACATTTGGGGTTTAGGAAAAAATGGCTTTATCTTTAACAAAGACAGGGTTAGCTTCCATTGATTCTGAGAGTATAACATCCCTCCCCCCAGTTTAATTAGAAACAAGTTAGGAGTATTTGCATATAGTGAATCAAATCCTAGGTAGTCTCCCCATCCACCCTCTCAGTCAACTAACACAAGTCAGCCAGGATATTGCTGCTGCTTTTTTTTTTTTTTAAAACACCCTGAATTCAACTGTTGTAAGTCGTATTGTTTTAGGATTTCAGGTATCCCCAAATATATTGCTTCTGATGGGGAGGTTGAAGTCTCTTAAGAATGACTTCTTGGCAATGCTTATCCTAAAGCTCTTTGAATAATGGAAAGCAGGCAGAGAAATGTGCCCAGCTCTTTTGGTGTCTCTCTGGCCAACATCATATCCTCTACGGTGGTGGCCGGGGTGAGGGTTTCCTACCCAGTGCTTCTAAATAGTGGGTAGCAGGTAAACATGTGTGAGCTTCTCCTGAATGTTCATCTGTCTTGGACTTTGACTAGGTAGCACTCAGCCACAGAAATAAAAGCCCACCATCATCCCGGTGCAGTATACTGATGTGGCACCGTGGCCTAGGAACACAGTCCAACACTGACTTCCATGTCTGAGGCAATGCCCCGCCCTAGAGCCCTCCTGTGGTGCAGTCATAGTTAAGTCTGTTTTAAACTGTCCACTTCTCCCAGTTGACTCTTTCCTGGATCTTTACCAGTTAAGGGAAAAAGTGCTTTCTTTTTTGCCTTCCAAGAGTTCTTGGCAGAAAGTCTTCCAGGTTGCTTCCTTCAACTTCTTAATCTCCCTCTGAGCTACAATGGTCATTTGCACCGCCACAGGTAAGAGGAGCGTTTACTTTGGCCTCCTTGTGTTTAAACATCTGGAAACGCTTGGCCTCACTCTCAGAGTTCACCCTTCCTCAGTGTATGTAATCTGAGAGGAAGAACCAGAAGGAGAGTCCCAAGAGGACAGAACATGAAATTGGATAATAAAAATTCAGTGAAAACCTAAAAGCGTTTTTTGGGCTTTAATGTTGCCTTGATATTTTTTCAATCTCTTCTGTGAAGTACTGGTTCTATCTTTCTCATGTTTTTTGCTTGGTTTTGATTTTTCTTGGAATTGTGATGCTTTCTGCTGATGGTGTGTGTGCGCCTTCCATTGCAGGGCTGCAGCTGTTCTGCTCTACTTCTTAAGGCCCAAGGACTTGGCTTCTGTCCAGTGTGTCTTGAAACCATGGGACACCACTGCGCTAACATGTTCACGTGCATCTGCTTTTGTCTTAGTGGCTGCTATGCCTTCATTATCTGTACATGAGACCCTGTTTGATGTTACCAGTAAGGACCAGTGCTGAATGGAAGATGGCCATTACCATTTTGCCAGAACTGGAAATGAGTTAGAGCCAATTTGGTAATTGAGGAAGCGTAAGGATTTCCTTTACTATATACATTTCTATGCAGATACTAACTTTATAGTTAGAAATAGTACATTGGTTATGAGGTCCTTAAGGCTTCACATTTTCATGTGTCTCATGACTTCTCCATGCGCTTCCTCCACTTGAACAACAAACAAGACAGGGAGGCAGTTCTACCCTTCAGCAATAAGTGATGGAGGGGGGCACTGCTTGGAAGTGCAGACAGAAAGTAGCCAGGTATAGAGAAATGGGAAGTCAGCCATGGTTTGTGAGGCGGCGGGTGGGTGGGTGGGGCAGGTGCCTCTTACTGTGGATGCCTGAAAATGCTTGATTGAAAGTAAAGGATCTAAATCTGGGGAAAAAGTTACCATGACAACAAAAGACCAGTAACAAGAAACGTTAGCACTGAAGATTTCAAAGTGCTTTAAAGACAAATCTAGGGATGATACAGTGTGATTTAAAATTTTCTACTTCATGTGTTAATAACATTTGACTGATAGAGGATATTATTTGTAGTTAAAATTGTGATTCTAGGTTTATTCAACCCTAGGATAGAACCAGAAAGTTAAGCATATACCTTGCTTCGCTTAGTGTGGAAAGCTGGGGTATATTTGGGGGAAGGGGATAGAGAATTTAGTCAGCTGTGTTTCTAGCTTCGATTTTGCCATTAATAGTCATTACAGCTGGGCACCAATGGCTCATGCTTGTAATCCTAGCTACTCAGGAGGCTGAGATCTGAGGATCGCGGTTCGAAGCCAGCCCGGGCAGGAAAGTCTATGAGACTCTTATCTCCAATTAACCACCAGAAAACAAGAAGTGACACTGTGGCTCAAAGTGGTAGAGGGCTAGCCTTGAGTAAAGGAGCTCAGGAACAGTGACTGAGTTCAAGCCCCATGACCAACAAGAGCAACAATAACAAATTACAGCCTGTAGAAATTGTTTCATCTTTCTCTTAAAAAGAGAAATCCCATAAACTCTTAAGAGTATCACAACTATAACATTCTAAGATCCCATAATTATATTGTCCTTAAGTGGAATATATTTTCAAGTATACTTCTGAAAAGATTGTTTTGGAATAAATTTTGGATAAACCCAAATAATTACTACAAATCATTTGTAATAAATTTCCTAAAGAATTTTCTCTCTTTAAAATTCAGAAAACTTAAGAGACTTCCAATGGGAAGTTTGCTTTTAGGATCTGTTACTTCTGCATGAATAATGGCCCTGGCTGATTGCTGTAGATTTAATGGATATGTCATATCAAACTACACCCATTGCTCTAAGGCCCAGTAATTCCATAGGGAGTTTATTAGTTAAGTTACATTACCTTTGTCTTCAGAACTTCAAGATGGAGCCTGATTTTCTAATAGAAGCTGAATTGGTTGTGGTTCTATATCATAAAATGGTGGTATTTTCATCGTAAGTGGATTGTTACCAGTATAAGCACCTGTAATACTCCCATTCTTTCACGTCTAGGCCACCTGGTCTTCAGGCTGTGTCTGCGCTAGTGGTCATTTGCTTATAATCATTGTTTTTCCTTTCCTGACTTCTTCCAAAGTGGTAAAGTGAAAGTCCTCATGTGGTCCTGTCTTCCCTCCCTCTTCTTCTAGTCTCCCCCTCCCTCCCTCCCCAACTCTGAGGCCAGGGCTGCAGACGTGGGAAGCTCTGGCCCCTGTCATTGTGCACTCTCCTTACAGAGCCCAGGATTGTCACCAGTGAAGAGGTCACCATTCGAGACAGCAACTTTCCCATCACCCTGCAGTGTAACCTCACCTCTAGCTCTCACACCCTTACCTATAGCTACTGGACCAAGAATGGGGTAGAGCTGACGACTACCCGGAAGAATGCCAGCAACATGGAATACAGGTGAGAGGGGCTGACAGCTCCTGGGGATGTGGGGAGGAATGTGGTCAAGCTGCTGACACAGTCTGTACACATTAGGAGCTTATATGTATGTGTTGAAATGAGAAATCTGAGGATGTTATTTGAAAGATGCACTGAACTGCTTTTTTTTGGGTCCGGTCGTGGGGCCTGAACTCTGGGCCTGGGCGCTGTCCCTCAGCTCTTCAGCTCAAGGCTAGCACTCTACTTGAGCCACAGCGCCACTTCCGGCTTTTTTCTTTTTGCTTATGTGGTGCTGAGGAATCAAACCCAGGGCCTCAGGCATGCAAGGCAAGCGCTCTACCACTGAGCCACCTTCCCAGCCCCCCGAACTGCTTTTTAATAAAATGAACTGAATTATCTACTACACTGTGACCTCTATGATACTGTGCTTTTTCTTGGTTCTGTAAGGACTTTTCTTATAAAGAATTTCAAGAACCCTTAGTAGGAATTTACAAATATGTGCTGGAAAGATGAATCTGAGACTGATGCATAAGAAAAATGCAATGTGAACTCTTCTATTTCAGTGAACCAAACTGTTTACTAAACTGTGAAGTATATTTGGTCCTCTCTTGGGTAGTTTAATTCAGTATAGCTGAGGCAATGCCCAGAGATCCATAAGAGATTCCCAAGTGATTCTAATGACCAGCCAGGGTTGAGAGTCGTCGATTACCCCTCATTATGATCAGGGAAAAACATGAGGGGTGAACAAGGAGTGGTTCTGCTACATAGGGCAATTGCATTATTAAAGTCTCTTAATTCAGCGATTGAATTTGGATTTGAGCAGACATCTCCTTGAGTGATCTTTCCAGAAGATTACCACAACCACAGGACCTGTGGATATAAGACTCTTTAATCTGAGGTGAAGATGATGGCATACAAATAACCTTTGAATGGACTGGAGGGATGGTTCACCGACCTGTGAACAAGCATGAATCTCTTGTGCTCAAGTCCCAGTACCTTGTCTCTCCCACCTTAAAAAAAAAAAAAAATTGAGAAGGTTGAGAAGGTGGCTCAGTGGTAGAGTGCTTGCCTTGCATGCATGAGGCCCTAGGTTGGATTCCTCAGCACCACATAAGCAGAAAAAGCCAGAAGTGGCACTGGGGCTCAAGTGGTAGAGCGCTAGCTTTGAGCTGAATAGTTGAGGGACAGTGCCCAGACCCAGAGTTAAGGCCCCACAACCAACCCCCCGCCCCCCAAAAAAAAGATAGTTGAATTACCTGGCACTAAAAGATTATGTGTTTTTTTTTTTTTGTCAGTTGTGGGGCTTGAACTCTGGGCCTGAGTACTGTCCCTGAGCTCTTCAGCTCAAGGCAAGCACTCTACCACTTGAGCCACAGTACCACTTCTGTTTTTCTGGTAGTTAATTGGAGATAAGAGTCTCATGGACTTTCCTTCCTGGGCTGGCTTTGAACTGTGATCCTTAGATCTCAGCCTCCTGAGTAGCTAGGATTACAGGTGTGAGCCACCAGTGCCTGGCTGGTGCTTTTTTCTTTCTTTCTTTTTTTTTTGGATAGTCCTGGCACTTGAACCTCATCAGTGCTTAGGCCACTGCCCCTGAGCTTCTTTGGCTCAAAGCTGATACTATGCTACTTCAGCCACAGCTCTACTTCTCACTTTTTTCTGAGTAGTTTATTGGAGATAAACTGGTGGCCCAGGTTGGCTACCAACCAAGATCCTCAGATCTCAGCTTCCTGAGTAGGTAGGATTTCAACATGAGCTACTGGGGCCTGGCAGATTTGTTGTTTTCTGAAATATCTGGAGACGTGGCACCTCATTTTTTAGAATAGTCTGTTCTCAGCTGGTTGAAGCATTGTAAGGAAACAGCATTGGAGTGAGTCAAGAGAGGTATACCAACAGTAGAGGGCTTTTTGCAGGCAAAGTCTTATTACTCTCTGGCTAATAGATCCACATGGGTTTGCAGAACTTTTTTTTGGTAAGGAAGTTGAGACTGAAAGAATTAACTCTTTTTTTTTTTTTTTAATTTTTTTTGGGTCCGGTCGTGGGGCCTGAACTCTGGGCCTGGGCGCTGTCCCTCAGCTCTTCAGCTCAAGGCTAGCGCTCTACCACTTGAGCCACAGCGCCACTTCCGGCTTTTTTCTGTTTGCTTATGTGGTGCTGAGGAATCGAACCCAGGGTCTTGAGCATGCAAGGCAAGCGCTCTACCACTGAGCCACCTTCCCAGCCCCAAGAATTAACTCTTTAAAACTGTGTCTAGTGCATTTCAGATCTAAGTTCAGGATCTTCCAGCTTTCTAGAGACTGAGTTTTGGAAAGAATTGAAACAAATGGAAAATGCCCCCACAGCCTTCTGAACGTAGCCTGTGGCTAGGCTACTTTACTGATAGCTGAAGTTGAGTAACTAAGGTATTCTGTGCAGTAGCTGCACTGTACCACTCTCCGCTGTGCTTTCTTCCGATGACAATTGAAAACACAGGGCCAGAGAGCTAGTTTTGTGGCAGAAAATTACCTAGATTGCATGAGGCCCTGATTTAGTCTCCAGTACTGTCGAAAGAAGAAATAAAAATAAAAGGAAGTATAGCCTCAGCTGTGTAAGTCTGCATAGTTTGGCAAGGTTTGATCAGAGTCTTGGTGAATGAAAGGTATTTTTCTGTTCTTTGAGAGTAATAGACATGTAGTCATTGTTCCTTTTTTCACTTCAGCTTACTTGAAACTCCCCAGTTATGCACAACATCACTACATTTTTTTTTAAAGGGATTCCACATCCTTTGAAAGAAATAACTACTTGGTCTCCTTCCAGATTTTTAGTGCACAGGAATAATATGAAGACAATTGAGCCTGTAAGGCTTGTCCTCAGGCTTGAGAGTCTGCTTCTCAAGTATTTCCAAAGGAACCTGGCGTCAGCTTAAACTCTGAAGATAAAGCTCCTGACCCTTCCTCAAACTCTGGAGTACATACACAGTAGTATAGGTTGAAGATGGACTATTTGTGTTGAGTTGAGAAGACAACTGTTCCTATTAGAGTATTTTGCTCAGAACACAAGCTGTCAGCCTTGGAGAGGGGCTGGGCCTCTCCTCATCTGGTCTTAGCATAAACTCCTTTTTAGGAATAACAGTAAAATAGATAATTGTATTGAGCCAGTCTGTAATGAGATTAGGAGATTTTATTAGTCAAGATAAAAACTGCAGGAGAAACTTAATCTTATCACCAAGAATCATATTTTAACCACCAAGAACATGAGGCCAGTCCTGTATATAAATAGTTATTTCTGGAGGCTGTTGGTTCTGCTTCTGTAGTTGACCCAGCAGGCATCCTGTATGTGTTGGGTGTGCGTAGTAGCCCTTGGGCCGGAAGGTCTGGGATCTCCTGTGAGGCTGAGGGGTGTGCTGGTGTGTTCATACAGTCCTCTTACAGCATTGCACTCAACTTAGCTTGGTCTGAGCACAGCTGTTCATTGAAGTAGTGTTCATTTACTGTTTGTCTATTCCCCTGCTGTAATTCAGGTGACAGCTGGGTGGAGAATTTTGCACCAGTGTTTAGGTTCATATGTACCTACATATAACTTGGTCTGTTGGGAAGTCAGATATTAAGCAATTACAGGCTAATATGAGAGAGGATATAATACAGGAAGAAATTTAGATTGGAGGGTGGAAGTGAGATGTAAGCCCATACCCAATGAAAGGAGTTAGGTGGGCTGAAAATGATGAGAAAGACATCGTTGTGAAGCAGGAATTGGAGACATTCAGCCTGAGGTCAACTAAGTGATGTTCCTGAGGTTTTTTTGCTCAAGGTTGACGTTCTTGAGTCACAGCTCTACTTTTGGCTTTTGGGTGTCCTTAATCGGAGATTAGAGTCTCATGAACTTTACTGCCTGGACTGGCTTTGAACCCTGATCCTCAGATGTCAGCCTTGATTGAGTAGCTAGGGTTTCAGGTATGAACCACCAGTTCCTGGCCTGTATTGATATTTTATATAGCCCGTGAATCATGTTATAAATAGCTAGTGGCCCTTAGCAGAAAAAGGGTTCTGTACCCCTGTATGAAGGAACACTTTATGTGAAGACTGAGATAGGAACACATTTGGCTTGTTGAAAACTGCAAGGCACATGGCAGAGCTAGAAAATGTCATGAGATCTAACTGGGGAGGTAGTCAGAGACCAGATCATTCAGGCCTCTGGCTTTATGATAATGGATTTTTTTTTTTTTAAAGCTGCATCTCTGTGGCTAATACTCAAATTGATAAATGTGGTTACTCCTCTACCTCCTGCACTTAAGAAAACACACAACTATGGCTAGTCCTATTATTTAGTAGGCTTAATTAACTGGAAAAATAAACTGAAATAATAGTCTTTTTAGGGAAGCCCATAAAAGGCTTTTATATTATCACAGAGACATTGCCCCCTTGTTTATCTGACTGGAATCACCAGGTGAGCAAGTTTTTAGTGATGGCTTCCTCAGTATTTCAACTATAATTCAACTATTCACCTATTTAAAACTATAGTACATCATGTGGCCTTCCTTTTTTTTCATTCTCCTTACAGTAAGTTGCAGTAAATAGGTTAGGGACCATGTACTGTTCTACCTCTGTATCTCTAGCACCCAGTCTGGAGTATGTGTGGCATTCATGTTTTGGGATATACAGTTTTGTGCTTTTAGTTAGGAAGAGGCGAGGTATAATAAGGAACAGGATTTGGAAAGCATGGCTCCTGGTTACCTCTTTGATTTCCTTTTGGTTGTATATTTTGACTGTTCCTACTTATCTTACTTTGCTTTTCTTCTCATCTTTGCAGGATCAACAAGCCAAGAGCGGAGGATTCAGGCGAATACCACTGTGTATATCATTTTGTCAGCGCTCCTAAAGCAAATGCCACCATTGAAGTGAAAGGTACAACCTAGCAGAAGCTGCCTCTGGTTAGCCTGTCACTCCTTCTGAGACCCTACCTTGTTTTGAACTCCTGATCTTCACACTTTTTCTTTTGGTGGGTGGTGGTGCCAGTCCTGGGGCTTGAACTTAGGGCCTGAGCACCTGTCCCTTAGATTTTTACTCAATGCTGGCACTTTTCACATGAGCCACAGCTACACTTCTGGCTCTTTGGTGGTTCAAAGTTTCTGGACTTTGCTGTCTGGGCTGGCTTTGAACTATGATACTGAGATCTCAGCCTGTTCAATAGCTAGGAAGGATTACAGGCATGAACCACTGGCACCTGGCTGTTGATGCTCTTCTTAATTCCATTTTGAGAAGCAATGTAATATTATAGTTAGAACCCCTGAATCAGGAGTCCTGATGCTTGAGTTTAAATCAAATCCTGTCATTTACTCATCATATGACTTTGGTGAGTTACTAACCCCTATTCTTCTATTTTGTATTTGCGAAATGAAAATGTCAATACCTCTTACCTCAGAGGGGTTTTTTTTTGGGGGGGGGTCCGGTCGTGGGGCCTGAACTCTGGGCCTGGGCACTGTCCCTCAGCTCTTCAGCTCAAGGCTAGCGCTCTACCACTTGAGCCACAGCACCACTTCCGGCTTTTTTCTTATGTGGTGCTGAGGAATCGAACCCAGGGCCTCATGCATTACAAGGCAAGCGCTCTACCACTGAGCCACCTTCCCAGCCCCACCTCAGAGGTTTGATAGATTAGTACAGTAGGATTAAATGTCAGCATCTTACATGGCCCGGTGTTATGCCTTTTAGATACTGTTACATACATCTTTTCTTTCTTGGTTGGTCATGGGGCTTGGGCCTTGAATTCAGGGTGTGGGTGTGTCCCTGAGCTTTTTTGCTCAAGGCTAGTGCTCTGCCACTTTGAGCCACAGCTCCACTTTCTGTTTTTGAGTGGTTGATTGGAGATAAGAGTCTCACAGGACTTTCTCTGCCCATTCTGGCTTTGAACCTCAAGCCTCAGATCTTAGGTTCCTGAGCAGCTAGGATCACAGGCATGAGCCACTGGTGCCAGCTCTACATATATTTTGAGTGGCTAGAAGGAAGTGGAAAATTATAACAGGAAAGGTGAAAATAAACTGTCAGGAATCTATTAGGAATTTATTAGAAAGCCAGTCAATGGGTGTGTGAGACAGGGCTGTGCTGGGAACTTCAGGAAGGGAAAATAAAATAACAAAAGTAGTCTTTCCATGTTATTCATGGGAAGCAGGTGAGACCCTGCAAAGTGCAAAAACACCAGCTCTGTGTCCATAGTGACTGTGGCAGAAGCAGCCTAGAGCCGGACAGTGTTTTTCCTACTGTTGTAAAATGACCAGGAATGTCAGGGCTACAATTTGAGTCATACTGCAGAGGTGAGTGTATTTTTATTTTTTAGTGTTTCTCATTTTGTTTGGGAAGGACACAAACTTGTCCATATGGTTATCTCTGGAGGCTGGAACAGTGGATTGGGGAAGAGCACCTGTGTAACAGGCGTTAGGACATCCTCCGCACATGTGAGGCTGGGAAATGTAAATTCAGGAAAGGCTTAGAGGAGCTAAGTGTGGTACGTATGTCGGATGAAAGGAAAGTGGTATGTGGTGAAGTTTCCTAAGCGGGGAGGGCAGTGCCTCTGGCTTCCAAATTTAGTTTTCCCATGGCCTCTTTCAGGTCCAGGAGGTTAGCTTAAGGATGAAGGGTATTCACTATGCCCAGGTGAGTTGAGCTGTATGTGGCTGTCACTGCAGAATGATGCCTTGCAGTACTCCTGGCTGAGTGCTTGTCACAAAGTTCGGGTGCAGCAGGTCAAGATGAATGGGGGTACAGGGGATGTGTCTAGCTAGTGGCCCTCCTCAGACCTTTTATATAATTAAAATCACAAGTTCCCACTAACTAGACTCCTCAGAGTTGGAGTAAGTGATTTCTAAGCAGAACTTCAAGAGTGGAAACAGTAATGGGCTTTTCACTGCCTTGATTCCTTGAGGAGTCCGGGGCAGGAGTAGGTGCAGCCCCAAAGGCATTGTTAGGAAGAGGCAGAGATGAGGCTGTGGGCAGGAGTGTTTTCAGAAAAATGGTTCATGCTGAAATTGCTGACTACTGCTACGTTTTTACTGTGCCACAGCCAGAAGGAAGATGTGGGTTCTTTAAAAGAGGTAGACGTTGAAGAAATTCTGTTTCAGGATATCTTAAAGCATAATTCCATGGTTTACATTGAGCAGATTTATTTGTATTAGTCTCTCAAGAAAATTCATAAGGAATTCTGGTCTTTTACTACTGTGTATCTTGGTCTTTCAGTTGGAGAATTAAGTCTGGTAAAGACTGTGACCACTTGGCACGTGCATGCGTGCACGTGTGCGTGCATATGTGTGTGTGTGTGTGTGTGTGTGTGCCGTGAGGCTTGCACTCTGAGCTTGGGCGCTGTCCCTCAGCTCTTCAGTTCAAGGTGAGTGCTCTACCACTTGAGCCACAGTGACACTTCCTATGTGTGTTAAAAGTTTAAAAAGCTATGCACAGGCCCAAGATCATATACTAAGCTAGCCTCCAGTTGTGGTGGAGTGGAAAATCGCCTTGTGTTTAGGGTAGGGTGTGCGTGTTAATTCCTGAACCACTGTCACGCCAGCTCTTACTTCTTCCCTTCAGTGCCTCCAGGGTGGGATTAGAGTTAATATTTTAGAGTAGCAGTGATTAGAAAAGTATTCTAATTAGAAAATTAGAAAAAGAACAAGTGAGAGGTGATTGGGGAATTTAGGGTCTGTTGGTGATGTCTTCACTGAAAGGAGTCTCTGAAATTTTGTTAATAACTTTTTTTTCCCCCTGGTCTTGGGGTTTGAACTCAGGGCCTGGATACTGTGAGCGGCTTTTGCTCAAGGCTAGCACTCTATGACTTGAGCCACAGCACCACTTCTAGCTTTTTCTGAATAGGTTATTGGAGATAGTCTCATGGACTTTCCTACCTGGGCTGTCTTTGAACTGTGATCCTCAGATCTCAGCCTCCTGAGTAGCTATGATAGTAGGTGTGAACCAATAGCTATTTATACCTTTTATAAATTTCTGTAAACTTCAGAAAAAAATTTAACTGATTCATCACTTAGGGCAATGAAATTGAGAGCATATATCTATGTGTGCTTGTATATATATAAACACACACACACCTAACACCTACCCTTCAAACGTTTTCTTCCCAATACAGCTTTTCCTACCTTGCAGAATATTTCAGGAGATGTTTGTGCTCAGCTTTGTGGAGACTGAAGGACTTAGCCTAGCCAAGGAGGGAGGAGGGACTGGACAGGAAATGTCAGAACTACCAGATTACCCTGAGATGTATAAAGGAATTAGGAGGGTCCATATTTTGGAATTGCGCTGTGGTGACCATGTGTTTTCACTTTAGCCAGTAATTGCTTTCCCAAAAAGTGAAATTTTCTTATTTCCTTTTAAGAAGACAGTTTGGATAGGTCCTAGGCTGGCTTGGAGCTTACCATCCTCTACCTGTGGCTCCTGAGTGCTGGGATCATAAGTATGCACTATTACAGCAATAAGAAAGGGATTTTGAGGACAGTAGTACCCATTGCATGACATAGATATTTGCTGAGAAGTGAAGCAAGGACTTTTTCCACTGTCTCCTTCACCATATGAAGGCGTGGGCAGACTCTAGACCTTTCAAACAAACCATATGAAGGCTTGGGCAGAGTCCAGACCTTTCAAACAAACAATGCCCAGTTAGGTAGTCCATTATTAAGTGACAAGCCTGTATAAATTGAAACACTAGGGTGCTGGTGGCTCATGCTGTAATCCTAGCTACTCAGGAGACTGAGATCTGAGGATTGCAGTTCAAAGCCAACTCTGATCTCCAATAAACCACCAGAAAACTGGAAGTGGCACTGTGGCTCAAGTGATAGAACACTTGTCTTGAGTCAAATAGCTAAGGAGCAGCACCCAGGCTCAGAGTTCAAGCCCCATGACCAATTAAAAAAAAATTGAAACACCAAATGAAGGCTATTACTCTAACTCGGAAAGACTTATTAGAACTGCAGCCAAAGTTTTGTTTCTGTCAGCAGATAGGGGAGCACACAACTAGCATCTCTTTAGTTTTCTGGAACTAACAGTGCTGGGGCTTCTTTGTCTGGTGGTTCAGTCTGAACGATTATTTTAGATCATCCTGAGCTTTTAACCTTGGGCTGATGAGCCACAGATGCCATTTAACCCTCACAGGACCGTGATATAATTAAAGTGCGGTTTCTGTTTTACAAAATGACCACCTTTAAGTTGGTTAAGCAAGATAGCCTTGATAAACAACCCAGATCTTTGAGTTTGAAATCCAACTTTCTGTCTGATCTTTATTTATTTTACTACCTGGGGAAATAAATGACAGGTAAGTCAGTCCTAGCTCAGGTCTTGGTAAGAACGTTTGAACAGTTTACCATACAGTTTTCAGTAGGTAGAGGAGGATTGTGGTGTGAGTTCTGCCCCTGGGCTAAAAGATTCCACCTGAGGGGCTGGGAAGGCAGCTCAGTGGTAGAGTGCTTGCCTCGCATGCATGAGGCCCTCGGTTCAATTCCTCAGCACCACATAAACAGAAAAGGCTGGAAGTGGAGCTGTGGCTCAAGTGGTAGAGCTCTATCTTGCCTTGAGCTGAAGAGCTGAAGCCAGCACCCAGGCCCAGAGTTCAAGCCCCATGACCCCCCCCCAAAAAAAAAAAAACCCAACCTCAGAAATAACTAAGCTCACAGGGCTAGAGTTGAGGTTCAAGTAGTAGAGTGCCTGCTTAATAAACATGAAGCCCTGAGTTCAACTTCAGCCCTGCAAAAAGGAAAACAAACACTTGTCATGGGTTGGAGTTAGGATGCCTTGGCCAAAGGTTTTGTGTTTTTGTTTTTTTAGTGAGCTCTGTCAAGTTGACAGACAGCTGCACGCTTGACAGAGGCTCTTCCAGGGAGGTGCTGTGCACTGCGAGGCTTCTGTGTCCTGAGGGTTGTCACAGGGCTTCTTCAAGGAGGGTGTCTGTCAGAGGGGGGGCCTTTTGTGAATTCTAAATCCAGACCCCAATCAGTGGGGAATTAGGTTTTTCCTTTTTAAAGGCAACATATCCAACAAATTATGGATGATTTAAAAGCCACCACCCTGGCTGGGACCTACCTAACAAATATCTGATATGTGTTCTGAGCACCCATGTACCTCCCTTGCTGTGGCTGTGCTAGCCTACCTAGCAGGACACAAACACCAGGCCCTTTGGTGACCCACTGGCTAAAGTGATAACTCCCATTAGGGGAAGTGTGCTATAGCTTCATTAATTCATTATCTTGTCACTTCTCTACTCACACAACCCTGCCCTTAGTGACCCGCCTCTTTTCTGTTCTGATCACTCAAGTGGCTCGAAAATCCTCTTCAGTCTGGGTCCCAGACCCTGATTATTTTCTCTTGGCATTTCCTTGTTTTCCGGTGTGCCATCCCAGTTCTTATGGTGCCTGTTTCTACCTAGCAAGCTTATATCTCCCTCAGGACCTTGTCTTTCTGCAGTGTTCTTCCCCACTCGGGAATGACTGGCTACTTTACTTGCTGGAAAATGTGCCTGATCAGAAAGGCATTTCCAACCCTCCTGACATCTAGCCTGTAGGAGGTTATCAAGTATTTGTCCAGTGACTGAGACACAACCAGAGACACATGCTAGCTTTCCTTGCGCTGTCTCCCTGAGATAGTGTTTTGGTTGGGGCATAGCTATGGAGCTTACTCCTTGTAGTGTTGTGTTTTTCACTGAAGAAAGTGTGAAGAAAGGTGACCAGTAGCCTGAGAAGAGACATTATCTGTATGTTCCCACCATAGTTTGCTATGATGAGAACAAGATGGAAACAGCCTGGCCCTTGGTAAGAATTTTGCCTGGAAAAAGAGACTTTTCGTTTATAACATCCAGTCTAACAAACATCTCACACAGAGTGGTTCTCAATTTGGCAGGAACTGGTTTTAGATAAGGACAGTGTGGAGTCTTAATCATTGGTTGCTGTCTTGTCCACCTGCCTCTTGAAGCTGAGTAAAAGACCTGTTTGTGCCTAGGAAGCACATTGTGTACCTTTTTAGCTCCAAATAGGCAAGCCAGTCAAAGGTACATGGGTCCGCCCATGATGTAATATAATCCTAGAGGATCCTAGCATCTCAGGACAGATGCTCAACATTCACGTGGTCTGTTTTGGAATTGGGAGGTCAGCAGGAACTGCAGTTATCTCTGCTTGGTAAAGGTAGCAGAACTAAAATAGAATTTTAAAGAGCCAGCAAAACTGGAATTTGGATCAAGCAAAGCCTGTCTATGCTCTTTCCTGCCTTGGCTATCAATCTGGCCTTCTTTGAGTTTTATTGCTTTTAAGTTATGTAAACTGGTCAGATGTTTGTGGAAAAAAATAGTTAACAAGAAAGTTAACGTCAACAGAGGAGGAGGCAACAATGCTCACTAGGAAATGCTCGTGTAACTGTAACCCCTCTGTACAGTATTTTTACAATAAAAAATGTACAAAAAACCCCACTAAAGTCAGAGAAAATTAGCTCCATATCAGGCTTCTTGGATCCTTGAAATTGATGTAGTGCTGTTTGTTTATTCTTAAGTTATCCCTAAAAGTATAGGGAGATCATGAACCCCTAGCAAGTTCAGGAATACCCCAGGATCATTGCAGAAATACCCCAAGATCATCGGGTTCACTAAGACTGTTGCTCACCAGTCAAGTGGAACCCAATGCAGGGTCTGAACTCTAGATCCTCCTTGACTATACCTCATTGCTGGAATTGCAAGTTTACCGTACTGGGCTCAAGTCAGAGTCTTAAACTGGTAATACAAGATTTGTAATACTGGATGAATTCCTGTTCATTCCTTTCTTTCCTCTTGTGAATGCTCTTTTCTGCACAGCTTTGGTTTTCGAATAGTGGAGTAGCCTCTCCAAGCATGCATTGGTTTCACGTACTGGATAATAGGACTTCATTTCCCATTTCCTTGAGGGAAGGTGTGACATGCTCTGTGATTGTTGTTACAGGTGTTTTAAGAAAGAGCAGGTTCTGTTTGCATGTTCTGTAAGGAAGGCATTCATTAGGGCAGTTGAACTGGTATCTTTTTCCAGTAGGTTGGAGAACCACTCATTTTAGTAGACCCTCATAGATGAATTACTAATGACTTTGGTCTTTGCTTTGGCAGTGGGACTGGGGAATAAATTGGTCCATTAGTCTATGCTGACCTGAACTGCTCTTCATCAAAGCCACAGTAGGTGGGGCCTTTGTATCCTGTTCAGAGTAGGCTCTCAAGGTAACAAACTGTTTGAACATTTTTACAGCTGCTCCTGACATCACTGGCCATAAACGGAGTGAGAACAAGAATGAAGGGCAGGATGCCATGATGTACTGCAAGTCAGTTGGCTACCCCCACCCAGAGTGGATATGGCGCAAGATGGAAAATGGCATTCTTATGGTGAGTAGGTGGCAGCCCTACTCTCGGTGGTTGCTAGACTTTCTCCCAGGGAAGCTGAGACATCTAGATCAGTTGCCACAACCGTACCCTTGGATATTGGCATCACTTGGGTCATTCTTTGTACAGTGATGAATGGTTTACCCCATGACTCTAGGGATAGGGACAGTCTGTTTAGCATGTACCTTTGGTAAAGCAGTCTTGTCTGGTAAGAGAGTGGAAACAGAAAGAACTAAGCCTAACCTTAGAATCTTAACTAATATTCTTTTGCATGCGAATACCTTTTTGGAGCTGGAGGAGAGGGAGGGGGAGGGAGGAGACCAAGGGCCTGGGGCAATTATAAGTTTATTCAGAAAATACTGATAAAGAATTGGAGCAACCTTAGCAGACCCAGCAGCAGCCTTAGGCACTTACAATCTGACAATATTATAGGAAAATACTGACAGAGCATCTTTTTCAGCCAGTGGGCTGTTTCTTGATGGTGTTTTAGGTTGTGCCTTTGACTCTTTCTCTCTGCTGCAGATTCCTTATTTGTCAGAGAGGGTCTGTCAATGTCTTTCTACCTAGGCCTTGCACAGGCATTACTCTTGGCATTCATCCTCTTTGGTTATCAGTCCACAGGATCAGAAAGGACACTGCAGATCATCTAACGCAACTTCTTTGGAAAAGGAAGGTGTACAAAGTAACAAGTAAATTCGTTGCAAAACCAAGGGTCACTCATATCCAGTTAAATTTTCACATCCTTTATTCTTACTCTGTGGCTCTTGAGAATCAAAGTGTCAGGTGTTAATAATAACCCCCAAATCAACAATGATGGCCAGATTTCAGAAGCTCATTCTTGGGGGATCCGGGTGAGTGGGGATTTTAGGCCAAGTCCTTGAAAGATAAGTGTTACAAATATGCTCTTCAAGAACCACTGGAGTCACAGACCATAGAGACAAAAATAAAGAATGGTCTCAGCAGGGCAAAATTTACTTCTGCAGAAGGGTGCACCGGCAACCAAAAACGTGGAAAGCAACCACACAGAGAGCAGGCCCTCCTCCTCCTCCCTAATGCCAATGCAGCAGGCCCCATTCCTCTACTCAGTTTGGTTGAACTCAGATTCATTATCTGCTTGTGTTTGGCTAATTTGAATAAGGTAAAATGTATTGGTGTAAGGTGACTTTTGAAATCACATTACCTGTACACAAGTGGTCTCAAATATGCTCACACAAGCCAGGTACTGGTAGCTCACTCCTGTCATCCTAACTAATGAGGATCACAGTCCAAAGCCAGCCCAGGCAGGAAAGTCTGTGAGCCTTTTATCTCCAGTGAGATTAAAAAGTCAGAAGTGGAGGTGTGGTTCAAGTGTTAAAAGTCTAACCTTGTGCAAAAGAGCTTAGGGGCAGCATTTAGGTCCTGAATTTTCAAGCCCCACAACCCACCAAAAAAAAAAGCCAAAAAACAAAAGTGTATTATAAAAATATAAAATATGAACACATACATATGTACACACACACATCAATATACACACATTCACACCCTCGGCTATTTAACAGTCTCAGGTGTGTCTTGATTCTACTTGGAAAGAAACCAGTTTAAGACAAAAATCTTACATTTCAAAGGGTCCTTGTCCCAAACATGTTCCTCTTTTTCTTAAAAAGGGACAAAGCAGGAATGTTTTATCTAAGTGCGTAGCTTTTAAAAGACAGTTTTTCTCACATAACACACCTTCTGTTTTCGGGAAGAAGGATCCAGACCAGGTATTTGCCAAAGCAGAGTGAAATTACCCAGTAATATTTCCATCCCCTAAAAGAGGAATCCTGGAACCTCATAAATCAGCTCTGTACCACACTGAACTGTAGATATGATTATCTACTTTGACCAGAAGATTTTTGAAGATAATCTTACCCTTTTTTCCTCTGTGGTGTGGGTATTGCTCTCGGCACGTGGCTCATGTTTTTCCCTTCCATGGCCCCTGAAATGAGAGCAGCACGGTCCTCTTGGTTTCACCCATATTGTGCTATCTCATACATGCTTTGCATGCACGCAGAGTCCCTCCAGCTACCTCTACCACCATAGCTGTCAGCTCTTACCTGAAGTTCTGTTGACTTCCCTGCACTGGCCACTCACCATATGTCCCCAGAGCACTCCATATGCACCGCCACTGGCTCTTAACCACACATAGTCATGCCTTGGCTTGTCACTTTGCTTGTGAGGCCGAATGCCTTGTGCATTTTGTATCCTACTTCTCTGTGCCCATCTCACCTTCCTTTGCTAGGACATAAAATGCTAGGTGAATACTAGCAGATAATTGTTGACTGCTTGAGTAACCTTTAGTTCTGTGGTTCTGCAATGAAAGACAGTTAGGGATTTCCCCCGCTCTAAGAGGGAATGCTTGAATTTTCTAAGCAGGCTCACCAGCACTCACCAAGTGTGAGGTAAGCGTCCTGGCTCAGAGGACCTGGTAGTCTTGAGGTTTCCCCATCTTGTAGAGGCCTTGTACTTGTGACCTCCTCCTGTTAGTCTCCTACCTGCTGTTTGAAGTAGCGTTCATCAGATTGTCAGGCTTTAGGGGTCCACAGGCAGTAGACCTTCCTCACTCTGGAAACTGAAGTCTAGAGGACCATGGGCGAGGGAGGCTTGTACCTATCAGAAGCTTCTTCGTGGTGGTTAGTATTGAAGGAAAGGCATGGCCCAATTCTGGCCAGTGTCCTAGAAAGGAGGACAGGTCACTGTTCCCTTGGGCACTCGGTGACCTACTCTGATGTTTGTGTGTTCTTACTCTACAGGACGTTCATAATACCTCTGGACGTGTCTTTATCATCAACAAAGAAAATTACACAGAGTTGAATATTATTAATCTCCAGATCTCTGAGGACCCTGGCGAGTATCATTGTAATGCCACCAACTCCATTGGCACAACCTCAGTTGTCACCATCCTCAGGGTACGGAGCCACCTGGCCCCACTCTGGCCTTTTCTGGGAATTCTGGCTGAAATTATCATACTTGTGGTGATCATCATTGTGTATGAGAAGAGGAAGAGGCCGGATGAGGTTCCTGACGGTAAGGGCACCCTGCAGACCAGTCTTGGTCCCAATGACTCTGCTCCCTGGGGGGAGAGCTGAGGAAGGATTTGGGATTCAGTCCCATAAGGAAAGGACATTTTTTAATACTAATTCTTAATCCTCTATCCTTAAGATTTCTTGGAATAGTCACTGGGAGTTTTAATTAGCTCGAACCTTTGTTTTCCAAACCCTAGACCCTCTTGTTTAAGCCAAGTGGCAAATGGGTAGCTGTCAGTTTCTGTGTTCAGCTCTGTCCTCCTTCAATACAGATCATCAGGCACATTGAGCTTGAGGAGAATCCAAGTCAAGCCTAGAAGCCACCCCAACATCGCAGGCCACCTGTCCTTTCAGGCAGATTTAAGGTATCTAATTGGTTAATCACATGGTTGCCTGGTGTAGCCCCTATAGGTGACTGCCCAGCTCAGGCAGTCTGTCTCTGGAAGCCACCAGTCAAGCCGGCCTTTGAGTCCATGGGTTGGTTCCTTGGTTGGGCTTTTTTGTCCTTCATAAACAAACATGGTGGAAGGCGGTTTGTTCACCTCTCAGTTTAAGACATTAGCTAAGTACTAACCCCTCCACTCCCATGGCAGCAGAACCATGGTGAACTATTAACACCAGAGCAAGAGCTGAAGCCTTACACTATGGGACATGGTTGCCTGGAATCAGAAAATTTTGGGGGCATAGATTTTGATGTCTTAACCCTGTGCTTATGACTAGTGGGACATTACTATGGAAACTTGTACCGTCACTACTTCAGATTCCTAACTAGCTCCCTCTCCTCCCACCTGTCACCTCATCAGTAGAAAGCTCCACTTCCCTATCACTGGCTAGACGAGAAGGATGCGCCCCAAGCTTGGAGCAAACCCACCTGGGGTGGTTGAGGGCTACTTGTGGTAACCGGCTGTCCTGGGCCTGTACAGTTCAAGCCCTGGTGTGCGGTGCAGACTCTGCTGTGCCTCACCAAGTGGAATGGGTGTGACCTCCGCGTGCAGCACAGGCCTGCCTCCTTCTCAGCAGCCCAAACCCCTCTCCCACACCAAGAGGGGAGTGTGTTGCTGAGTGAGTACGAAGGCACCTCTGCAGGGAAGCCCTCCGGGCCTTTCGCAGGGTGGATGCACGAATGGCCTGGGCACCCCCTGGAAGCAGAGAGGCCTTCATCTCCTTGCTCACAGTAGGGGAAGCCCCAGCTTATACCATGAGAGTCCTTTGTGGGGTTTTCATGTATCCCCAGTGCTGTTTTTTCCTCCAGATCTTTTTCGTGCCTGCTATATGTGAAGACTACCAAGGCAGACATTTAGACTGGAGTATAAAGGAAGTTGTCTGTCTTTTCATAAATTTTCAACTTTCATTCTTTGGGAATAAAGATGCCTTATTCCTAAAAAGGCCCTCTTCATTACCTCGGAATTCTAGCTTTGTGGGGCACCACTAGTGGCTCACACCTGTAATGCCAGCTATTCAAAAGGCTGAGATCAGAGGAGCATGTTCAAAGCCATCCCAAGCAGAAAAGTACAACAGACTATTTCTAACCAGCAAAAAACTAGAAGTGGAATTGTGGGTCAAGTGGTAGAACACTTGCTTTGAGTTAACTCCAGACGCTTTGCCAGATACCCTATTCCTCAGTCTGCCCTTTACAAAGGTGGAAAAGCAAAAAGTCAGGCCAAGAAAGGCAGAGATGGGCCTCAAGGGCTGGTTTTAAAAATGAATGTGGCTGCAGCTCACATGGTGACGACATGTTGGCTTACTGTGTCTGAGATCCAGTCCTCTTGACAAGAAGTCACTCAGAGCTGTTACTGAGGCAGAGATGAGGCCAGCCTGGCAAAGATGCTATCTGAAATGTAACTCAGGTGGTAGGTCTTTTGCCTAGCAAGAGCAAGGCAATGAGTTCAAGCCCCAGTGCTGACCCTTCTCACCTCCAAGAGGGAAGAGAGGAAAACGGCTGCTTTATTGTTGAGGTAACTGTTCTAGCAAACATGACGCCCCTCAGGTTAGACTTGAGGAATAGTCAGTGCTGGGGTGTAACTGAAGCTGTCTCTTCTCAGCGTTCCTTGATGATTGAACTCAGGTGAGAGCTGTCTGTGGCCAGCCAGTCTTCTGAAGAGTGTCCTGGAGGGACAGTAGGCGCTTAGGCTAAACTATTGTAGACAGTGAATGAATGCTACACAAAGTAAGGTATCTGCAGGGTACGTGCAGAGTAAAACCTCTGTGCCACCGGTCTCGTTTCTCGTTGAACTGAGCTGAAGTGGTGGGTGGAGCGGTGGCCGGTGCCTGCCTTCTCTCCACTCCTTCCTGAACCGCCCGTTTGTTCCAGCTCCGCTCTTCATTTCTTCACCCTCCAGCACTTCCATCCCATAATCCCCTGCTTCGTCTACCTCTTCTCAAAAGCCTCCTGTTTCTGCTCCCTTTTTTCTTCTGGAAGCATTTTTTTTTTTTTTTTAGAAGTTAGTAGTTTTTCATCTCCAGTGAACTTTCCCTGAGCTGTGGCCTTTTCTCCGCTCATTGATGCTGTGTGCACAACCTCTTTGCTTCTCAAATTTACATGCAGATACATGCTTATATTTTAAAATGCGTGTTACATTTTAGGAGGATGACTGGAGAGGTCTATTCTGTCTGATACAAACTTGGGAGTGTTGGAGGTAAAATGTTTTGCCTGCAACCATCTTCTGGCTCCGTGTTCATTTATTCTTTTGTGAAAATGGAAAATATTTTTGTAGGCCTGACTTGCTTTTTTTCCCCATGCTAAGTAGGTACTTTGTTACCAGCACTGAACTTTGTTTTAATTTGATCTCTTAGTGTTCCTATTTTGTGCAGTCTGAGTTCTTGGTAGCTTTTCCTTTTACTAGAAAAGCTTGAGAACCAGGTACCAAACAAAGCACAAGCCATACAAATGTGAACTTACACAGACTTTAGCTTGAATATGTCATACTAGAAAAGCAGGTATTATTTTCGATTTAAAAGCTTAGCTGCTTTAAGAAAGGCCGTCCTCATCCATTGATCTCCAGCAGTGCCCAGGCCAGTTTACAAAGGCCATCTCGTCTCCTACCTTCCTTCTGGATCTCCTCGAGGGACCAGATGAAATGAGCTGCCTTGTACACGCCCATTTTACCTGCAGTGATTCAGGAACGGGAATCAGGAGTTTTTTGGCTTTTTTGCTTTGAGCATGTTCCCGTCAAGTCTTTGCCTACTCAGCTGGACATAGCCCGAGCACGCAGAGCACAGTGAGCATGTTCCTCTTCCCCGGAGTTGGGGCAAACCTGCTCAGTCTCTGGCTGTTTGTTGTACTGGACATTTTAGTAACCTCACAGATGTTACAACTGATTGGAGAGGTGCTGGCCTCATGGATTCCCTATTTTCCAGTCAGTTCTTACAAACAAAGTAAGTCATTGGTGAAGGACATCTTGCGAGCATGTCCCTTCAGAGCAGTGCATCTGGTGCACTGGTCACGTTCCCCAACCTCCTAGTTGGTTAAAGCATTTGGTGCCCTACAAAGCTTTCTAGGAGGATAGGACTGTTGCAGAAGAAATGTGACATTTAAAAAAGATGTCTACGTGCCAATGGCTCACGCCTGAAATCCCAGGTTGAGATTTGAGGATCATGGTTCCAAGCCAGCCTAGGCAAGAAAGCCTGAGATTCTTACTTCCAATTACTACCAAAAAACTGGAAGTGGAGATGTGGCTCAGGTGATAGAATACCAGTCTAGAGCAAAAAAATTTTGTTAAGGGATGGTGTCTAGGCCCTGAATTCAGGTCATGCTGGCATATACACCCCCCAAAAAATCTACAAGTTCCCTTAAGGAAAAAGTGCAAAGTGTAGCAGATGAAGTTTGCTATGCTGCTGAGATCAGGCAAAACCTAAAACTTGAATTGGGTGTGATGGTCCAGGCCTGTAATCCCATTGCTTAGGAAACCGGAGGAAGGAGATTTAAGTTAATCTCTGCAGAAGCAAACTTTTTCTGAGCAATATAAAGGCAGTGACAAAGGAACTTGACCTGAGCCAGTTCTTTTGACTCTAAAACAATCTATTATTTATGGGGTCTCACAAAATGGGTGTGGAGGGTGGAAAGAGGGTGGGAGGAGAGCTGCCCCACGCTCAGCGGGGAACCAGACATGCAGGTAACCAGGTGGTGTGCACACCAGCTCCTCAGAAGATTCCAGAAGCATCTTATTTCCATCCCCCAGCCCTCTTCCTCTCATCTAGCCAGTGGCTGTGTGCAGCCCCCAAGTGGAGAGCACACTCACTGTTGAGGGCCTGAGGGTTTGGGATGTGCTGATGTTTGTCGGTTACTGTGACTTCTTTTTTTTCCCCCTTCAATTGCAATCACACCCTTAAAACTTGGTGGTAAGTGAGCAAAATGCATGCTTTTGGAGTTCGTTTAATCCGCTTCAGTCTACAATGCAGTTCATAATGTTAACACAACTTCAAGTTTACTTCATTCACTTTCACGACTAATTTGGATTTCAGTTTGCTGTTTAATCTGCATTTACTTTGATTTTTGTCCCTTTTTTCTGTAGTTCTGTTCTTTCCCCCTCTCCTGACTTCCCTAGTAGGGGCCAAGTCATGCGTGTGTCTGCGCTGCGAGGAGTAGTGCTGTGGACAGCGCAGGTGGGGGGCGGGTGGAGGTGGGTGGTGGTTCTCTGAGTGTGAAGGTGGATTTGGGGAGAGAGGAGGCCCCTGGAGTTCCAGCCCTGGTGTGAATCCTGCTGCTCCCACTCCTAGGCACGGCTAGAACACTGCCATGTGGTGTGTAGTCTTGTGCATGTAACCAGCTTATTAGGTTGCCAAGCGATGTTTCTGACAAGACACCAGAGGACCAGCCCTCCCAAAGAAAAATGGCCTGTGGCCCAAGGTGCTTGGGCTGTGCGGACAGTCAGGCTCCCAGGACTAGCACCAGTCGCTCTTGTGCTCTTCCCTCCCCTCGTTGGCAAGTTGGGAGTAGACTTGCTGGTACTCTTGATTTGGCCATCTTGTGTTGGAATTTTGTATTTTGGGGTGCACAGCCAGAGCACTAAAAATACTGCTTGCTCCTGTGTCTTCTCTAAATCCTCAAGGTGCTGATTCTCAGCTCCTAGCCAGTAGCTGAGGGCCTAGTTGGGATGCTAAGGTCCGAGCCATGTGAGGGCTCGTGTGCCGTCTTTGTGGCTCTCCTGGGTGTCCTCGAGTCCAAGTCTGTTGTTCTCCATTCCTGTTCCGAGCGTGTATTGTTGGTAGTGGACTCCTGTGGACACTGGTGTGGCTAGCCTACTGTTGGCTGATGAGTCATCGATACGTGGTTACGTGGTTAGTTGTTTTTGTTTTTTTTTGTTGTTGTTTTGTTTTTTTGAAATCCTCTTTTGCTCCAGTCACTGTGTGTGCTGGCAGTGGCTTTGCCTCTCCGTTGCCTGGAAGGAACAGGTGGAGCAATGTCTCCCTCCCGCAGACATTCCTCCCAGCGTGTGCTCCTGCAGATGCTGCGAGCCTGCAGCCTCCATAATGGCTTCTTCATGTGCACCAAGCCCCTTGTGGAATCCTGCTCGAGGTTTTCTCTAGGCCATCAGTGAAATCAGACTGTCCTGTCTACTTGACAAACTAAGAACGTGCACTTGTTCCCGCCCTTCTGTGGGTCTTCTATTTCCATTTTCTTTCTTTCTTTCTTTTTTTTAAAAAAAGATGACACTATGTTCATGTGTCTGCTAACAGGGAACTAAGTTGCCCTTAGTGTTAAAGCAGGAAAGAAAACTTTTTAATGATAAAGTATCAATTTAAGAAGGCTTCTAAACTCAGATAATACAATCATTTTGATTTAAAAATAAAACAAACAGAACCAGAAGCTGTCTCCTGGCTTTGAGTGGTTTGGGCCAGGGCACAGAGTAAGCCAGCCCATCTTTGTACGTGAAGTCTTTTTCTAGAACGACATTACTGTTCAGCTCCCCACCCGCTGTTCTGTGGCACAGAACATCTTCTGCTGTGCGTAGCTTGTTGCTGGCCTGACCTAGCCCTGGCTGACTTAGTGTTATGTTGAGCTGTCTCCAGACTTAAAAACATCTCCTAAAGATTGAGAGATGACAAAACAGCAAGAAAAGTTGCCCTTGGGGAAGTGAGGATGCGTGGCTAAGCGTACGCAGGCACACGTCCAGTTACATGGCAGGACCGAGCCGAAACCGCAAGCACTCCCCACGAGAAAACTAACAGCAGGATTTTACAACTGAAATGTTGGTTTGTCTTCTCATCTACTTAAGAGTGAACCACTGGAACTTGGGGACAAGATGAGTCGACTGGCATTGCAGCCTATCTGTCCGCTACAGTTGCAGTTTTTCATGACAAGCATTCAAAGTGTTAACTAAAACCATCGAAACTACATACCTGTCATTAAAACCTGACTTTAGAAGTGACTCCATGAGCTGTTGCACTCCAGACGGAATGGCCTTTACTTGAGTCAATGCTGACAGCCATGTCTGCCACTTATAGTTTGCTCTGTTGTTTATCCTTATGCACGCTAATAATTTTCTCCTTTGTTCTCTTCTCATGGATTAAAAAAAAATGAAACCCATGTAGATGATGAACCAGCTGGGCCAATGTAAGTATCAGTTGAATTCTGTTGTGCTTGCAGCTTAAATGGGAGGGAGGGGGTGTGTCTTGGCCTGACCGAAGACCATTTGATCCCAGGCCAGTCTGCATACAAGTGGAATGTCATGCTAAAAGTGGTTACAAGTTAGCTGGGCACCGGTGGCTCACGCCTGTCATCCTAGCTACTCAGAAGGCTGAGATCTGAGGATCACGGTTCAAAGCCAGCTCGGGCAGGAAAGTCCAAGAGACTCTTATCTCCAATAAACCACTAGAAAACCCGAAGTGGCGCTGTGGCTCAAGTGGTATAGCGCTTGTCTTGAGCTGAAGAGCCCAGGCCCAGAGTTCAGGCCCCATGACCGAGAGGGGGAAAAAAAAAAGTTGTTAAAAGTTCTGCACTGTCTGTGTTTGAGTTGATGCTTTGGGCAACAGCCAGTCTGCCATGATGCCATGGCTTTATTGATAAATTTGGACTGTAGCATGGACAAACTAGCTCCAATAATGAGAGATGGAGCTGCAAGTGTGGAATCTTAGCACAGATTGGCAGAGTCTCCTAGAGGTAGGATGCAAACCCAGTACCTATCAATAAATGCCAGAGGGCACAGCACTGCCAGTGGGTGATTGAGAAGTAATTGGCAGAGTGATTCTCCCATTCAGTGATTGAATTGTACAGTCCACAAATCAAAGGGAAAGTTGCCTGTATGTGGTCTGCCTTGGGAGTCAAAGAGGATCCATTAGTTGAAGACATGGAGAGATCTTCCCTATGGAATACTGTTACACACAGGACCGTGTGTTCAAGTCTCCTAGGACACCAGGGATGGCAGAAGTGAAAGAGCCCCTGTATTTCCATGTGTTCAGATGTGGCTAGTTTAACAACCCTTATATTCCATGTTACATTTCAAATGTCGTCTTAACTCATACAGTGCAATTTTTTCCTTCAAAGGAAAACCAACTCTACCAACAATCACAAAGATAAAAACTTGCGCCAGAGAAACACAAATTAAGTACTGCTTATAATGTAAGTATGGCCTTCTTTAGAGATTTGCAAACTAATTGTGCTGTTGACCTTGTAACAAACAAACTGCCAGTGGTTGGTGTTGTAGGAAGTCCTTGTAGCTCACTTCAGAGCAGCCAGTACTGAGAAAGAAGCCAAGTGCCTGCCATTTTCGAGTCTATCGTGATGTTTCATAATAAGCACCTTACTTTTAGTACCTTAGTCTCAGTGCTGCATTGTCTACCTCTGAGGGCAGAACAAGGACAGGATGGCAACCAGAGCACCGGCTCTCTGCTAAGCACATGGAGATCAGAGTTTCACGCCACATCCCTGAGCATGCCGTTTGAGTGGCCCTTGGTAGAGAAGAGCACTGAGTGCCGGGAAATGTTCCCTTTTAACCTCCACACACTTATCTCCCTGTAGATCTTTAGGTTCCTGACACTGGTGGCAACCTGACCTGCTCAACTGTCTGCTTGGACCTCTGGTGTCTCCCCTTTCAAGTGAGCAGCACGACGACCGTCTAAAGCATGCCTTACATAGCCTCTCCTGTAAGGGTGACCTAGCCAGGTACATTTTAAACAACGCTTCAGTGTAGAAGGTGTAAACTATTTTGGGCTTGATGTGCTGTGAATGTTGCTTCCCCCCCCCCCATCCCCCCTTTGTTCAAATATTTAAATAGAAGTGAAAAGGTCCTCTGAGGATCAGTTCATGCATGCGCCATTTTTTACTTAAGGCAAAGCTCTAAAAACGCACTGCTGCCATCTAGTGGTAAATTTTTGTAAAGTACAGCAAAACCTACAGATATATACAGTATACAAATAGATATATATATAAATATATATTTATATTTTTGGGGGTGGGAGAAATCCAAAAATAAATGCTTGTTTCATATTTAAGCTGCTGATCTCATTCTGGTCATGTTCGATGGGAAACTGTGGTTCTGGTCCATAGAGAGGAGTCATATATATAAACTGAAGTCTCATTCTAAGGGCTTAACCTACAACTTTCAGAAGCTGGAGCAATCCACTTGCTGGATAGAACGAGTTGCAGTATAAATGTAGAAGATTGCTTTTTAAGTGACTATTTTTTCTCCTGTTAAATGTAAATTCTTAAATCCTTTTGCACTGACTGTGTTGAACCTTCTTGTACATTCAAGGCAAACTTTTATAATTTACCTTCTGTTTTCAATGACTTTGAAATGTTACAGCATGGTGAGATTCTATGCAACTCTAGTTAGACTCTTTGGTTTGGCACTGTATTTTTCACACTGATTAAGTGGTTGATGGCAGGTTTTATAACCCGGTCAGGTCCGGTATATAATTGTAGATGCATGCACTTGTGTAACTGTTGAAGTGCAATGATGTACAAAAAGTGGACTCGCGTTTTTAACAATAAATCATTGATAAAAGGTCTCTGGGGTACTCTTTAATCACACATGGAACGCTAATTTCTCAGCCCCATCAGCTTTTGAAGCTCTTTTTCCACTTCTTCCACAAAGGCAGGAAAGTTGTGGTCCAAGAGGCACAGGCGTAGAAAGGGGCCTAATTCCTCTGCACACCATGGCGATTGCTCACAGCTCAGCAGCAGTTCCTCCGATGCCAGGAGAGTCTGCCCAAAATAAGAGACAGTAGCTTAGCCTTACAATGTATGTCTATTTTGTATTTACACTTTCCATTTTCAGGATAGGGTCTCATTCTGTAGTCCAGTGCACCAACACTCCCGGCTTTTTTAATTGTCAAGGTGATGTACAGAGGGGTTACATAAGTAAGATAATAAGTATATTTCTTGTCAAACTTGTTACTCCTTTCCTCATTTTTGGCTCTCCCATTTCCTTTTTTTTTGGCCAGTCCTGTGGGCACTGTCCTTGAGCTGCTTTTGCTCAAGGCTAGCACTTTTCCATTTGAACCACAGCACCCATTCTAGTTGTGTGTGTGTGTGTATGTTACTGAGGAATCGAACCCAGGAAACACTCTACCACTAAGCCACATTCCCAGCCCTGGTGATTGAGTTTTGATGTGCTTGGTGCAGGCTCTCCGTTTTCTGAGTACACAAGAACGTGAGATAACCTTGGTCCCTCACAGCATGCTGTGGGTGCTCATCTTTCTCACTGTACCTGTGCTGTGTGGGCACAAGAAGCCCAGGGTGGAAGAACAGTGGGGCTTAGGGTGCATATCTAGGATGCACAAGGCCTTGGGTTGATCCCTAGCACTGAAGGGGAAAAGAATGGTTACACGCTTATCATGCAACCATCGCAAGACGGGGCAGATGCCTTCCTGCAGTTCCTCCTTTGGTGGTGACGGGAACATGGCCCATAGAAACTGCGCTTCAGACTTGGCAGCTAGTTCTTGGCAGCAAAGTGCCATAAGGGTGGGTGGTGGTGGAGGCCTCTCACCAGCATGCTAGGCAGCTGAAAGCCGTGTTCCAGAGCTGCGCAGGTGACATGCACTTTGGACACAGGATAATGTTTCTGTAGCGCAGTCCACAGTGTGGCGCCAAGGTCTGGCTGCGGCTGTGGTGCAGGCCGTGTGCCAACCCCCTGGTTAACTTTTCATCCCGCTGAGTCAGTGCCGGGCATGGGACGCTGTGCTGGGTTGTGGATGTGTACCGTTGCACGGGCGCAGCCTTGTCACCTGTCGCTGGGAGACCCGTGACATGTGCAGGGACGCTGCTGAGCACCGTTCCCCTTCCCTGGCTTATCTGCCATCCAGGTCTTATGAAACGGGGGCGCACTGCAAACATTTAGCCATGGGAGAGTTCCAATAACAGGGAGGTGTGGTGGGCAGGGTGCACAGCGCCGTCACGCAGGCCCTGCTGCTGCATATGGGCTGGATGGGGGTCTGTGTCCTCCCCCTCCCCCCCCCCTGGAGAAACAGCACTGTTGAACCTTGCCGGAGCGTTGCAGGCTCTGCCTAAAGTAGAAGGAAAGGGGAGTTAGTATGGTGCTGCCACTCCCCTGTATGCGCTTATGACAGAGGCAGAACCTCACCTTATTTCAAAGAAAACGTGCGGTGAGCATTTTCCGGGATAGGGTTTATGCCAACTTGCCAGGATGTGGAAAGGTGGGCGCAAAGGGCGCCAACCCCACGCTGCTGCTCCTGGGACGCGGCTCACGTGTGCTGTGCAAACAAGCCGGGCTGGCACACCAGCGCAGACACGAGCAGAGCAGTTCTTTGGGACTCAAACTCTCCCTGTGCCAACATAGCACTGACTGCTATGGTAAAGACCCCTGCCCGGCTTTAGTGTTGGGGTGGTCACCCCGGACCTGCACTCCGCCTCCAGCGCAAGTCAAGTCTTCTGACCTCTTGACTTCTTCATTCTGTGACTGCCCATTTGAGGATCTTTATTTTTGTAACACATGCTCATAAAAATCATCCTTAGCCAGGTGCTGGTGGCTCTTGTCTGTCATCCTAGTTACTCAGGAGGCTGAGATCTGAGGATCATAGTTCAAAGCCAGCCCGGGCAGGAAAGTCTGTGAGATTCTTATCTCCAGTAAACCATCAGAAAACTGGAAGTGGCGCTGTGGCTCAAGTGGTAGAGCGCTAGCCTTGAGCTGAAGAGCTGAAGGACAGTGCCCAGGCCCAGAGTTCAAGCCCCATGACTGACAAAAAAAAAAAAAAAATCATCCTTAATACTGTTGAGCTCTCACAATGAGTGGCCAGCACCTGGTGCTCAGGATGCCAGGGGGGCGGGGGGGGGGTGTCACCACTGGTGGGCTGTGTCCTTCCAGGCCCACAGCCACAGGCCAATGGAGAACCCATACCGCTATTCGTTTTGCAGTAGCTCCCAAACTGCATTTCTGAAATTGATCTCCATCTTCTCTAGTAACTACAGGTTCTCTACTGTTGTACCATTTTCAGAGCACGCTTTCCTAACCCCCCACCAGAAACGGACTGTACCTGAGCGAGCTGTGGCACCGACACCCTCTCCTCGGCCATGCTTGTGGCAGCTATGGTGCGCACCCGCTCCAGGTCTGGGCAGGGCTGTAATGAGACCACATGGTCAGGAGCTGCAAGGGCTCCGCACCTCTACCCTGCAGTCCCTGGCTGTGTTCCGGCTGCCTCGGCCCACCCACCCCATGGCCAGGAGCCAGGGGTGGACGCGCTCTCGTCCTTTCTGGAGACAGCGAGTCAGTGGGGAGGGGCTGGGCGGGAGGAACCAGTGCTCCTTAGCTGAGTAGATCTGTGCCACGCACAAACATCCCTACTCCCCGCCTCTCTCAGACAGAGAAACACCTGGTGGTTAGGTTGCAATTAACAAGATTACAAGGCTGAACAAAAAGTTACAAACGCAGGAGCCAGGAAGTGACTCAAGCACTTGAAATAGACATGGACTCATCCCAGCCTTGAAGAAGGCAACGCTGGTTTCAGACTAAAGAACACAGGAGCTAGAAAATGAAGGAAGGTGCTGGTGGCCGGAGCCTGGCCACAGCCTGCCACCAGTCCTGGGGCTGCTGTCTTCTGTCCCCTCCTGACTGGTCCCCGCCAGTTGGCCTGGATGTAATTTGCCCATTGAGGTCAGGCAGACAGGTGACAACTGCAGGCCAGGGTCAGGGGCTGGCCGCTGTGGCCTGCGGCTCCCTGTGGCCTGCAGGACCTCACACAGCCGCCAAGAAATAGGCCAGGACCAAATGGCTCTAATTTAGGTGTCTGCACGTCTGTTCAGAACAAGTGACAGGTCAGAAGAGTCCCTGGCTACAGCATCTGGGAGAGACACGAAAGTGACTGAGTGCCAGGAGCCCAGGCCTCCCTCCCTGCCCCCGACCACCAGCCTCCACTTCAGAGAAAAGTGTGCTCACCCTGTGCCACGGAGGCTTTGCACTGTCCTTCTCCTGGCTTCCACCTGCCCACTGGGGCCTGGGGCTGGGCCGAGGCTCCGGGCTGCCATCGGGCGCCTCCACGGTGATGTATTGGGCCAGGCTCCGCACGCAGGCGCGGCACAGCTCCAGGGCTGCCTCCTTGGTTTCTCCAGCGAACTGCACCCGGAACATGCGGCTCTTGTCCTGTGGGACAGGCTACAGGTCAGAGGTCATCCTGATGGCGTACCACCTCCAGGGCTTTCTATACTTTTTTTTTTTTTTTTGGTCGGTTGTGGGGCGTGAACTCAGGGTCTGGCGATCGTCAGCTCGTGGTGAGCACTCTATGGCTTGAGCCACAGTGCCACTTCCTCCAGGGCCTCCCAGTAAGCGTGCCCTTGGCGGGGAGGGTGCTGTCATGGTGCAGGGCCAGAAAAGGCAAGGGTTTCCCTTGCTTTCCCCTTTGGGAAGGCTTTTCCTGTGGAGACTTGAGTTACACGGCAGAAGTGGGGAAGCCCAGGTGCTCACCAGCCTGGCACGGCAGGTCAGGATCGCATCTCCATCCTCACGGGGGAGCACAGTGGGGTGCACCTGCTATCAGACACGGGGGCCAGATGCAACTCAACAGTTGTAGAAACGCCTGCCTTCACTACATTTAGGGGCTGGGAAGGTGGCTCAGTGGTAGAGCACTCACCTTGTATGCACAAGGCCCTGGGTTTGATTCTTCAGCATACCACATAAGCAGAAAAAGCTGAAAGTGGTGCCGTGACTCAAGTGGTAGAGTGCTCGCTGTGAGCTGAAGCGCTGAGGGACAGCGCCCAGGTCCAGAGTTGAGGCCCATGACTGAGGTAAGCAGACCTAGGTTGACCACACTTGACCACCATGACTCCGGTGTCTTCTCTATCTCATACTCCTGGTCTACATGAGTGGATTTACAGAAAAGCCACCTGAATAGAGCTACAGATTTGGGGCCACCCTTCTGTCCGCCAGGCTAGCAAAGGTGAGGCATGAAGGAAGACAGGCACTTTGGCGTTTTACTTCGTTTGATCCTCTCTAGAATAAACCTGACTCATTATTACCTCCTCCCACACTGAACAAATGGGAAAGGGCCATTTCAAATGTATACAAAGACATCAGGGGACATGTGCAAATATTTTAGAGGTCTTACATGTAATATAGGTTACATACCTTGTGTATATTTAAAACGACACTGCTGCTCTGTAGCCTAGTTTTTTATTTTACAGTTAGTATATGAAAATAGAAATGCAGCTTGCTACTTATTTAGCTGACCCCTACTAACCAACAGATCAGCCCCCAAGTCTGAGGGTCCATACCTAGAATCCGCTTGCTGGAGCCCATGCAAATTCCTGGCTGGGAGAGAGCATCTCCCCCCTCCCCCCAACACACACACACACAGACAGACACACTAAGCGAACAGAGCTCTTTGTGTTCTTCCATACTGGAGATAAAGCGCAGGGCTTGACACTGGCTAAAGAAAGCATCTATCGCTCAGGCTGTACCCCCAAATTCAAAATCCCATTTCTCTGATGACCCCCGAGATGGAACTCTCTTCCAGTGAAGGCGTGCTGGTGCTGGGGGCCTCGCCCTGCCCTGTCCCCTCCCCCGTGTCAGCCTGAGCCCAGCGCTAGCTTCATCTTGCCTTTGTTGTCGTTCCAAACAACAGACAGTCCATGCGCCTCACAATCTTCAGCCAGTTCTTGCTGCCAATGAGTGAAAATCCTTCCTGAAATGAAGGAATTAGACAAATTAGCAGCGGAAGCAAGGAGGATGGAAGAGGTGCAGCCCCTTCGATGGCAAGTGGATCCCGTCCCAGCACAGGCCAGCCGATGCCAGTGTGTATACACTATACATACACTTACTGGACATAGACACACATACACATAGGTCTATAAACACCAAAGGTGACAAAATGCTTTCAAGAGTTAATTCCTCTTTTCATCCTTGTTCTCTATCAGTTCGCCTATCTGGGGACAATCACTGAAATAAAGTTCTTAGGAAACCCCTAGTGTGTGTGTGTGTGTGTACATGTATGTATGTATGTGTATATACAGATACATGTATGACATTTAATCATTTTGACAGTCTATAGCCTGTGGCCATTTTTTAGCTGGGTTATAATTATTACTTTGGCTTTAGTCTTTTTTTTTTTTTTTTAGTCCTGGGGCTCTGCTCTTGAGTCTCTCTATGCTCAAGGCTAGTGCTCTACCACTTAAGCCAGAGTTCCATTTCTGGCCTTTTCTGTTTATGTGGTACTGAGGAATCAAATCAGGGCTTTGTGCATGCTAGGCAAGTGGTCTACTGAGCCACATTCCCAGCCCTATAGTTCATTTTTTATACATAGGAAATGAACTCTTTGCCTTAATATTGTCATCCGTTTTCTTTCTTTTTGGGGGGGGGGTCCAGTCGTGGGGCCTGAACTCTGGCCTGGTCGCTGTCCCTCAGCTCTTCAGCTCAAGGCTAGCACTCTACCACTTGAGCCATAGTGCCACTTCCAGTATTTTTCTTTTTGCTTATGTGGTGCTGAGGAATCGAACTCAGGGCCTCATGCATGCAAGGCAAGCGCTCTACCACTGAGCCACTTTCCCAGCCCCAGTTTTCTTTTTTTTTTTAATTTTGTTTTGGCCAGTCATGGGGTCTGAACTCTGGGCCTGGGCACTGTCCCTCACCTCTTCAGCTCAAGGCTAGTGCTCTACCACTCGAGCCATAGCGCCACTTCTGGCTTTTTCTGCTTATGTGGTGCTGAAGAATCGAACTCAGGGCCTCATTCATGCAAGGCAAGCACTCTACCACTGAGCCACATTCCCAGCCCAAAGCCCCGATTTTCTTTTTTAAGCTTAGTTTAGAGCATTGTCTCTGAGCAGAAATTTTAACTTTTATGTAGCTAACTTAATTGTTCTTACTTTGAAATTTGATTTGGGCTAGATGCCAGTGGCTCACGCCTATAATCCTAGTCACTCAGGAGGCTGAGATGTGAAGATAGCAGTTCGAAGCCAGCCTGGCTGGAAAGTCTGTGAGACTTGTATCTCCAATTAATGACCAAAAAAGCCAGAAGTAGAGCTGTGGCTCAAGTGGTAGAGCTCTAGCCTTGAGCACAAAAAGTCAGAGACAGCACCCAGGCCGAGTTGAGCCCCAGGATCAGTGCACACATGCGCGTGTACACGCACACAAAAATTGGAAAGGTGTTCATTTCTTAAATTAAGTTTCTTATTGTGAGAATGCTGTACAGAGGGGTTACAGTTACATGAGCAAGGTAATGAGTACATGTCTTAACAAGCATTGTTGCCTCCTTTGTTTTCCCCTACCATCCCTTCCCTCCCATCTCCACAACTACACCCTACACCTACCTTCCCCTTCTTCCCCCCCCCCCAATTGTAAAGTTTGTTTTTTGACATAGTGTCTTGTACATCTCATTGTCACAATGGGTCCACCTGTATCCCTATTTAAACATTTTGCTTTTTTCCTTCCCCTCCCCAAATTATACCAACATCAAATACAGTGAAAACGGGCTATACCGTGGGAGAGGGGGAAAGGGTTAATTTTGGCTATGAATTTTACTTGACATACCCAAGTTTTCCATTTTTTTATGCAGTCAGTGCTCTTTTCCATATGGTTTAAAAATCTTTCCTGTGCTGAAAGCATGGTTCAAGTGGGAGAGCACCTGCCTAAAAAATGTGAAGCCTTGAGTTCATGTCTGTAATCCTAGCTGTGCTAGGGAAGTGGAGACCTGGAGGAGCACAGTTCAAAGCCAGCCCGGGCAGGAAAGTACAACAGACTCATCATCTCCAGTTAACCAGCAGAAAGACAGAGCTGAAGGCATGGCTCAAGGGGTAGAGCCCTACAGGGTGGGCCCGATGCTCAAATACTGGGAGCAGCATGCACACACACACTATAGTGAGAATTCAATGGAGCCAACACGAGATATTTACCTGTGTTGCTCTTGGTGTTCACAGAGCCTGCGAGCGTGACTAGTCCCTGGGGTCTGAGGCACAAAATAGCATGTGTGAAACCTCATTGTGTGGAACCTGCCGGGTTCCCATCGGTGGCAAGGACACCGCAGATGACCAGATGTGATTCTAAAAAGATCCCCATCACTTCTGGCCACCTTCTTGCTTCTAGTGGCTTCCACCATGTGTGTCGGCATCGTTGAACACTTGGGAGTTTAGTAGTAAATAGAAGCACACAGCATCCTGGCTGAGGTAAGTATAATGCCAGCACCTGCTATTTGAGTACAGCTTAGATGACAGGAAGCCACAGCTGAAGCAGAAGCCAGGCCACAGCCGGGCCTCGGAGCCTTGTTCCCAGTTCTCACATCCAGAATTAGGAAAACAGACGGGTGGGGCCGTGGCCCGTGCTTGTCATCCTCGCTTCTCAGGAGGCTGATTGCGGAGGACCAAGGTTCAAAGCCAGACTGGGTATAAAAGTCTGCAAGGTTTAATCCCTAGTTAACCACAAAAAGCTGGAAGTGGCGCTGTGGCTCGAGTGGCAGAGCTAGTGCCTGAGCACAAAAGCTGACGGTGCGCTGCCCAGAGTTCAAGCCCAGGACCATTAAGGAAGAAAAGAAAAAAAGAAAATAGACCGGACAAAAGACTGAATGCAGACATAGTTTTCATTTCTGAGACTTTCAATCAATACAAAAATACCTACGAAGAGAACAAGCGAGCTGGGCGGGGGCGGGGCGGGGGTACTGTCCACTGTCAGTGGGGGAGGGAGTACTGTGCACAGCCAGGCTGGCCTCACTGCCTCACCCCTTCATCCCGGGCCTGAGAGCGAGCTGCTTCACAGCGCATGCGTGCGTTAGGACAGCTTCCATAGTCAAGGTGGGGCCAGGGCAGGAAGGAGACTCGGAACGGAACGGGTGAGGGTTGCAGGGCTATCAGCACACAAGGTTGACAGTAGAATCTGCTTAAGCAAAACCTTCACGTCCTGTGAGAAAAGATGTGACTAGGAAAGCCCCCCCTTCACCTCAGAGCTGCCTGCACAGCACGAGTGAGCCCTGAATGACAAGGTGGCCGAGGGTGAGGCGCCACTCGAAGGCCCTGAAATGGCGCCTGCCCCACCAAGGCACAACCGGAGCTCTTAGATCCCGAGAGCTCTTGACAGCGATGCCGTCCCACCCACAGCCCTGGCCTCGGCCCGCAGGAAGAAACCAAGTCAGCTCGCCTGCAAGACAGTGGATCTGGCTCTCTTCCACAAGCCAACAGGGACCCATAGGGTAAGTAAATGCACCCCAGCATTTTGGATCTTTCCGTGGCCTTGACCTCACCACCCCCACATCAACCGAAACACACCTTGCCCTGGGCGAGGCCACACAATTGCACATTATGCACATACAATACGTTTCTTTGCCCCTGGGGCACCCAGGGGGGCGGTGGGTCGAAAGGCTCACCCCGTGGGACACACGGACCAATGGGCAGATTCGTATTTTACAGTGACTGCTGGGATGGGAGAGGAGGTGGCCGCAGGCAGCGCCCCAGAACCCGGCAAGAGAGAAGGGGGCGCTGCGGGGCCTGTGGCTGACTCCACTGCCACAGATACTTGATGACTGAGAACTACCCGGCTGCCCTTTGCCAATCAGCGTGAAAGATTGAGTTCCCCCGGGGTCAGGTGGCGTGCTGATGAGGAAACAGTGACTTCTGCTATTTAACACAGTCCCCGGGCTCCACGGGAGTTGCACACGGCTTTCCACAGCACGTGTCCCTCATCGAAGGAGTCGAAGCGGTCTCCCCACCACGGGAGTGCAGCGTGAGGACACGGGGCCCGTGGCCACGCCAGTGAAAAACAAGAAAAAGACGGAGCTGCAAACAGAACAGGGCTAAGCTCGCGCCCAGAGCCCCGAGCGGAGTCACAGTGTCCCTCCTCGTTCTGTCTCAGACCCTCTTAATAGCTTCGTTCGTCCACTGGTTTTCCCATGCACTCAAGTGAGCGAGCCTCTGGCAGCCTCCATCCAGTAACGGAACGTCAGCCGCGCTCTGCGCACCTCCCGGCAGGTCCTGTGCTTTATTTGGCCATCTTCATTAAAAATCATGTAAGACCTCTTTATTTGGCCATCTTCATTAAAAATCATGTAAGACCTCCCCCCCCCCCTCCATGATGGTGTGAAAGCCACTTCCTCAGTTACCTACGTTAGACCAAGGCAGGAACTCTTATTGGTTCCCGGGATCTGAGTGCAGACACTGCTATTTCTACTGCTCCCCTCGCCATGCTGAAGTCAGGAACCCTCATTAGCACCTGCCGCCCCTCGGTGCGCAGGCAGGCTGACCTACTTAGCGGCTGAGTCTACTATTTTTGCCCAGTTATTGTGGAAGAAATAAAACCTTTATCCCCAAAGATAGTGGCAGGGGGGAGAGGGGAGTGAGGACGGAGGAGCCAACTTAAAATCACCCGTCTGTGCTCAATCGATCCTGTAAATGTATAGCACACGGGATGGAGGAGCCAGTGTCCTGTATTGATAGGAAAAGCCAGGTCAAGGCCGGGCTCCGGGTCACCCGTGGCTGGAGGATGAAGCCCCGTGTGAGGGTTCTGTGTCCCCCCAAACCAAACTGCTCAAGGTGCAGAAGGAAGTCAGTGAATGCTTTTAGAAGCCATGTTTAAGGTAGTCATCTATTTGGTTTATATGAAACCAAGGTTTCAAAACTTAATAGGAAAAGAAGTAGATGTATGACTGGGTAATCTTCTAAGGGGTTCAGAAAACGTGTGCACATGGCAAACGGGGGAGCGTGCACT